TTGCATTCTTGATGATTTCAAGACGTTCCATGGCGGCTCTTCTTTCCTCATGGGACTTCTGTACTTCAGTGTCATCATAAATGTTCCTAAGGTCACCTGCCCTATAAACCATAGTATTATACATGGCTGAAGGCACTCTCTGCCAAGGCTCCATCTTCTTATCAACCATTTCCTCAATGAGCTTTTCTTCATTAAGATGATACTTGGCATGAGGATGCATGCAGGGCTCAATCGGTGATCCAGGAGGATGATACCTGTCGTAGCAATTGCGGTTGCAGTAATGACGACAAGCAAGGGCATGGCTATTACGGAAGTGGTGACCCCAAAGACCCCTGCCTCGATATCTTCCGCCATAGTGTTCATCTATCACTTTAAATGGGGACCTACTAAACTCCAACTCATAATCATTATGATCTAAGATGTCACCATTATCACTGGGAGCTGACTCCTTAGAATGCTCGGCAACGCTTGCGAGAAAATCCAAAATGCCGGCTTCATTGGTGTCATTATCTTCCTGAGTGGGAACATCGTCGGCTTGCACTTCAATGACTTCTTCAGGACTGAAAACGTCCATCGAGATCATCTCCTCATCTTCTTCACCAGTGATGGTAGGCAGCTGGAAAACTTCTGCGAAGTCATCAACTACCTCACCGGTGGGTGAGCCTGTCTCTTCTTCCATGTCAACCATGGTTTCGGATTCTTCGCTGAAGATTTCGTCACCAGGCTCAGTGGTGCAGTCCTCGATGTCGTCCCGCTCCGGTTCCATAGCAGGATCTTCTGCTTCATCATCCCTCGCAAGGATGGCATGGTCTCCCTGAGTCTGGAAGACAGTCCTCGCGCCGTTGAGCGCGTCCACTGCCCTGGAGGTTCCCATGGGGTTGCCCATGCCTACCCCATCAGTGCGAGGTGTGCGGTACACACGTGCTGTGCTCCTTTCAGGAACGGCCTCAAGAACCGTACCTAAAACCTCGAACATGACAGGCGGAATGGACTCCAGGCTTTCAGCGATGTTGATAGATCGCAGCAGATCTTCATAAGAATCAAATTCCATAGTGGAATGCTGGCGAGAGAACTCTGTCTCTAAAAATGTACAGTAACCTGAAAGTTCCTTGTACGCGCGAAAGACAAACCTGCTTTTGGGAGAGAACTCTGCTCGTTTGCATTTCTTGTAGATAAGCTGCGGATCAAACTTAATGGCGTAGGGAGAGTCATAAAAGGTCTCCCCGTTGACCTGAAGTGGACAGAATATTTTCGGCGCTCGGCCTCGTCATCCCTGTGCTTGGAGATGTGCGCAAAAAGGTCTCTGCCGAAGAGTTCGTGACACTTGTCAAGAAGAACATCAAAATCTTCCTTGATGTAGATACCCTCATAAAATTTTTCACTTATAGCAGCATACTCTCTAAGCTTCTCCTGATACTTGGCCTGAGCTTCTAGGTACCCCTCTTCATGAGGCTGAATTTTTGGGACTGGTGGTCTCTCACCTCTTGCTAAAGCTTCTGGAGGTAATGTGGTCTCAGGCCCCAAAACCTATAAGCGGCATCATGGACCCTGGGAATATGGTGCTGGTCAGGAACCCTTGAAGAGACTCCATAACCATGCGCATATTAATATCCCGCATTGGGTTTTATTATACGCTCCAACACAATGCTGCCCCAAACGCTGCCTAATTCAAAGGCATCCAGGAAAACCTTGATAAGATATCCTGAAAGGGGATGGCACATCCACTCAAGCTTATCTGCAACATCAAGTCTGTTGCGGATCCCATCAGGAAGGCTATCATACTCCATCAGATGCACGCGAGGTTCATCATAATCTCCACGGGCCTCGACCCTAGAGCCATCACGCCCCTGAATCCAAAGTTTGGCGAACCCCTTCTCCCATAGGTACCAAGGGTTGCAGGTAACCATGTTAACGGAGGAGAGGAAACGTGTAAACTCTTTGGCATTCTCATCTGGCGTCCTAAGGACGCCGTCTATCTCGTCGGTGGACGAGTCTGGCGGCCTGACACGAGTTGGAGGCGGCGGCATAGGCGGCTCACGAGGAATCTGATTGCGAAAGTGCTCTGGCGGTGTAGTGTAAAGGGGCTCCAGGTAAACCCTGGGAACATCACTCATGGCGAGTACCACACCGTTGGGTGTGCCTCTCAGCTGGAACCCATCCTGTAGGAATTTCCAATAGTTGAGATTCCAATAGTGAATGTCTCTGCCCTTACGAATCACAGTGCCATGGCGAGGCTGTGTGACTCCTCCAGCATACACAAAGTGCACGCCGACACGCCCTTTTTCGTGGCCGATGCCGTGAGAGTACGGTGAAAGAACCAAACCGTGGGCATCAATGGAATCATAATTCACATTGGGTGAGGCGTGAAAAATGTAGCCCATGTCACTGCAGGCCTTGATGTCAAGCAGCTCGCCAAGTGCTGAAGGGTCCTAATTTCTTGGCAGGCTGCTATGTCCCTGAACAGCCCTAACCTTGATATGGAACCCTAAATCTTCAACCCTAGCAGGAATTAGCTTTTGCGGGAATATGTTGAAGATAAAGCGGGCCTTATCGTTGCAGGTTAAGGATGCCAGGTGGACGCTGCGTCAACATCGTAATATGGTCTTAGCCTTGTTCCCGGGTCGATAAAGGCTGCTAGTTGATGCAATGAGAGGTGAAGAGTGCGGTCAAGGTCTGCAACATGACTGTGTCGCAAGATTTGAGAGTGCAGTTTTGACAATTTGTAAGACTGAGAGTGCCTCTCTTGTTGCCTTTGCTGGCGAGCACATTCCTGAAACTGCCTGTTGTAACTAAGGAATAGCCTATCCGTTACACATCCTACGGCGACCTTAACTAGGCTATATTCCCAACGTTGGAAGTTTGTCAAGGCATAGTTTGTCTCGCTATCCTTCATTAACTCACGCTGCCATTTCACGATCCTCTGTATGAGGCTTACCTGGCCGGCAAGAACTTCGGAGTATGAGAGTTGAATGCAATGTGCACCGGGGATATCCCGCCGGAGAGCGGGTCTTCCCCCAATGACTTCTCTTTCCCTAAGCTGTCCGTCCATGCCACGGAACCATGCACTGTGAACAACATGCTCAGAGTAATCGGGCTCATCCCCAACATAGGGAATACCGAAACCTTTCAGAGCAGGATTTCGAGGCGTGGCGTCAGACGACATCTTGCCGGTGAGCAAGTCCTCGTCACTACGCGTCGGCAAACGCTTGAGTAACAAACAGTGGCTGCGGAAACGCAGGCACAAATTTACAAAAGAGACTGAAAATTCTCTGCAAAAAGGAAAGCTACCTACACGGGGGTGTAGCCTGCTAACTACTTACAGACTTCCTAGCATGAGGCATATTTCCTTACATATCTCAGGGAAAAGATTCAATTCCTTAGTCAACCAAGCAAGTGCGAAGGCCTTATGTTCCATCAAGGACCTAAAGGCAGGATGAGAGTCAATCTCCTTGAAATCACCACTCATTACAGAATCTATCAAGTTCTTGCAGTTGGCACTGGCCTTAGTAAGACAGTCTGCCAAACAGCGTTCTGTGCGAACATGGGATAGATCTGCAATGGCACCTGAACAAGCTTCCTTCCTAAGCATTTGAATCATGTGAATTGTTTCTTGCTGCTCTGGAACATGAGTAGTAGAGGCCGTAGTAACAAGATTATTGGCGTCTGTGCGCATGTGAATGCGAGCATCAGCACCAGAAATGTCCTTCCACAAACCTCTCAACATCTGACACGTGCCAAAACATTTCATCAAAGCATACAACTCAGCAACAGTGGTACTCAAGGGAGTCCGCTTGATTTTGGTTGATTCAAAGAAAACAAGCGAGCCACGAGTATCACGACTATTCTTTTGACGCTGTTCTGCGAGAAAAACGGTCATTCCACGCTGCGAGGACTTATCAAAATTGTTTCGGAACGCGGCGTCAGGAATTCCGAGGATTCGCGGATCGGTTTTCAACGGCCAAAAGCGAAGCTCAGAGGGTTCATTCTTAATCTGACGACACAGCTTATTTAGTGCCCGGCAGTCTCCTATTGTAGGTGAGGCAGAAGCTGAAGCACAACGGGAGAATTGATAACAGGCTTGAAACTGAGTTCTAGACTGCAACCAATTAATACTGCCTAACAGGGACCTAAATGCTGTGTGCATCTCTTTACTGCACCCTTCCGAGTCGGAGGACCCGCGTGGGATAGAGATCTCTTCTAACTCTTCAACATTTAGTCTTTGAGTGACACCTATATACTTCTTCCTTTTGGTCTTTTCATCAAATACCCAAGCAACTCTCTGTCCTGTAAACATGATGTCATTGACATCCTAATGACCAATAGAGAAATGCTTGCGCACGGTTTTGACAAACCAATCTAGGAAGCTCTTGTCACCAGTAAACATGCGATCATCAACATGTAAGGACAGAACACCAATGGGTTTCCTACCTCTGCTGGGACTACCATGAACAGGATCAGCAAAGTGTTCCAACAGTTCAACTACTTCAGGAGTAAGTTGAGGCTTGTCCAAAGTAGCTTGATAGGAAGATTTCTCAGGCAAATAGAGAGAAACAAGAATCTCAACTTCTTCTTCTAGGAAATCTTGTTTACCTCCATTCCTGAGATCAGTGCTCTGTTCTATGACCCACCAGGTACATTGTCGAAAGATGCAGGAAACTCTGAAGGGGTAGTCCTTAGTCTTATAGGTAGGTTCAGGGGTCCTAAGAGCCTAGGCTCTATGGGTAACCTGAGCCTGACCATTGAGAAAAGGGAACCATCCCTTCTTATGAACTGCAGTAGAGTTTAGGAACTTTAGGAGGGCCTCGTCTACAACAAGTCTCCATGCATACTCCGTAACTTTACGAGTCTTAAGCGCATGTGCAATGTCGGGATAGTCTTCAACAGATCTTTCCTCCGTATGGCCGGAGGTAACTGACGGATCCTTCACTACGCAGGACTTAAGGAAGTGACAAAAGTCGGCTTCCTCTTCGGTGGAAGAGCCTGCTGCAATTTCAGCCGTCCTGTCAGCCGAGTTGGGCTGGTCTTCGACCTTAGGTTCTCGCCAGGCTCCTTCATAGCAGNNGTACACCTATCTGCCCTAGTAGGGACCAAGCCACAGGCTCTAATGAATTTATCAAGGCGGTTCCACCACCTTCTGGGTGCATCATTAAGGCCATAGACAGGTCTCACACAGTATCCTACTAGGTAAGGAGGTAAACCTAGGTCACTAGGAAGTTGAATAATGACAGCCCGGCGCGATAAATTCTAGTGTTCCCGCTGAAGGAAGGCAGTTTTAAGATCCAAATGCAACAAATCCCACAAAGAACTGGCAGCCTGCTGACAGACAAGACGGAAACCATACCGTGTAGCAGTGGGAGAATCAGTTTGTTGCTCCCAGCCATGCTTATCCTGAAAGCCCCTGCAGACCCATCTAGCCTTAAATTTTGTGAAATTACCGTCCTTGTCGACCTGCACGGTAAGAACCCAACGGCCCGTAAGGTAATTCGTACCCCCAGGTCCAAACTTGAGAGTACGTTTATCCAGGAAACGGATGGCGCCATTGTCAAAGTAACTTTTAAATTCTTCCAGCTTAGCACGACGGATTTGTTTAGCATATTTACGCTGCATTTCTTGGGTAATAACCCCGGCCTTAACTTTCCCAGCCAACAAGGTCATAAGATCCTCAAAAGATTCGTCACCTAAAAGGGGAATGTCGGGAAAGGACTGGCCCTTAGGAACAGCGAGAAACACGTCTTCAGATGTAAGACCTTGGCCTTCGTAATCAATGGTGGAGTCAGAGTCAGAGTCCGAATCCGGCGCAGCTTGTTCCCCGGAGTGTCTGGCTCAGGAGACTGAGCAATGGGAAACTCACCTTCCGTGACCGGAAGACCTGGCTGGCTGTTAGACGAGGCCGCGTCAGGATGCGGCGCCTCATCATCACCATCTTCTGGAAGCGAAGGCATCTTTTCCACTTTGGCCGGCTGCTGCTGACCCGGCAAATTGATTACCGGTTCGCGCGCCTTGGCCGTGGCCGCGCGTGACTTTTTCACCGGTGCACGTGGCACACGTGCTGGACGTTGCTCGTCCGGATCTAAAGGTATGACCTTTTTAGGAGGTGACTGTGTACGCGGAGAATCAGCCGGAGGCGGCGGCGGAAGTGGCGGATCATCTGGCGGATATGAAGGTGGCGGAGCGTGCGTGCCCGGGTGTGACAACGGAACGTCCGGGTCGGAATACCGCGGTACGGCGCCAGCGGAAGGCCCTGATGGTCCATCAGGAGGAGGACCCGGCGGAGGAATTTCCGCTTCATACTCCATCGGAAAAGGTGTATCATCAGGATCCACCGGAGGCTGCGACGGTACCGGTCCGTAGGGACCGCCTCCGTACGGCCCAGAGCCAGGAGGCCCAGGTTTAGGAGGGTCATCGGAATGCCCTGGAGGCATATCCTCGTCATCTATACGTCTTAGAAGCTTACCAGTGGTTTCTCCCGAAAAGAAAATAAAGGACCACTTGGTGAGATCCAACTTCTCACAAAAGGCCCTAAGCTGGTTAACCAAAACAAAGAAGACCTTTTTCAAAATCACCAGGTTCCCACATAAGAACAACAGAAGCAGGATCCTTTTGTAAAACAGGACTAACTTTTCCTAAAGTGCCCCTATACACACTACAGTGCTCAAAGGACAAATGAGGAAGAGTCAGGGCCCTGACATTCTGCATTAAGGGACGGAGTTCCTTGGCAATTTCTTCTGTGGAGGAGTTAATCTCAACTTCTACACCAGGACGCATAGAATCAACTTTCTTCAAAGATAGAATTAGAGAACTAGTAACAAAAAGCTGTGGCAGCACATACTGATGATTAACAGGAAGTTTGTCAGAAAGATGCTTCATCTTGCCGATAAGTATTCATGCGGGAAGATCGTATCACCCAAGCTACTTCTATCATGACGAAGGCTTAATGAACACAGAAGGCCATCATCCACTTCTTCAAACAAATCTTCAAAAAGAAAGACTTGCCTAGAGTCACATGATGGTTCCCCCTGCAAGCATGAAGCCAACAAGGTAACAAACTTGGAATCATACGATTTGCCCTCAGCCAGAACTGGCACATTATCAACAAGACGCTTCATCCAACCTGAAGGTAAATTTGTAGCCAAGTAGGCAGAGCCATCAGAAGACTGGTTACCTACACAATACATATTGCTCATCCAGCGCAGTGTTCTAGAAGAACGTGATGACCAAAACTGAGAAGTGTTAGGAGCAATTACCAGACAGTGCTTTCCCCTTTGGGTTTGCCATCTAGCAACATCAGTACAGAAACTCCAGAGTTCCTTACACATAGTATCATTCTTAGGAGTGATGGCATGCAAGATAACAAGGGATGAATCATATTTAACCAGGTCCTTCCAAGCTAAAGCTATAGATTGCTGAAGAGACTTCTTGGAAGTAAACTGCGCGCCCACTGCCGGAGCTATTGTTTTACCTTGATGACTCAAGTAGGCTCCTATGCCACTGCATGTATGTAGGACTTCTACACAGTCTACAGGATCATTCTCAAAACATAAGTGATAACATACTTCATGTTCTGAAACAAAGGATGCATTGGCACTGTCTACCTCATCGTTGGATGAGCCTGACTTATTGTCTGAAGAAGGCCCTTCCAAATGAGGAATCTGAACATCATGCCATTCATCATGATCCCTTCTAACCTTGGATTGATTCACCCTTAGAAGCACCGTGGGCAACTGAACCAAAACCATAGCACCTTCTTGGGAAACTACAGTACCTCTCATCCATACACCTTCACTCTTTTTCTTATTATCATCTGTATGCCAAACAAAACCTTTTCCCCCTTAGTGTAAGGACCGTCTGAAGGCATAACCTTCTTAGCCAAGTCCTTCTTGAGGTCCGCGGACTGTCGCGCTTCCAGATGAGCCTTCATGGCTATGGTCCTCAGCTGCGTAGCGGTCCTGTCCTGTCCTCAGGAAGTCCTTCTAAGGAGAGTTGTTCAGGATTAGAGGTCTCTACATCTAAGAGGTCTGGAGGTCTTCTACCGGTAGCTACTTCTAGAGGAGAGTAGCCGGACACTGTAAGCTGGCAATTACGAACGAAAACGATTCGTTTCACGGCTTGGCGAAGTGTGATCTTCTCAAACATACCTTCTTCGCCAAGAGACTTAACAGTAACAAACAACACCCAAGTCTTTTTAGACCAACGAACAGCGGTTTCGGCACGGTTGGGCCAAGGAGTTCTTGGTCCGCACGGATACTGAGCAATGTTATGGCGTTTGTAGAATTTCTCGAAGTCAGGAGTGAAGAATGCAGTGTCGCCAACAACTCTTTTCGGAACACAGTTGTTTTCCTCGATCCACAGGCGAAGAGCAGAAATCGTTTCCTCCGGCAACAAGGTTTTCTGAGCCGTAGCCCACAAGAGATTCGTAGCGCCGTCGCGAACCAAGAGAACGACGTATTTCGCGGTACAAAGCTGAATTTCCTGATGGTCCACGAAAATAACGTCGCCAAATTCCGACGCACGCATTCCCGAAATTCTGGCTCGCGGCGGACTTGAAACCGAAGTACCACACACCTTACAGCCCTTGACTACCTTGTCATACCTTTCGTAGACAGACTTAGGCAAACCTAGCATGCTAGTCCTCCTACGAAACTGTGCAGGCGACATGTGGTAATGTTTTACGTGTAGCTTTTACAACTCTACTTCATTTTCGAGTCTCTTAAGCATACGCTGAAAACTAGGTGAGGCAGCGCTAAGCTCTTGACCAGGCAAAGGAAGCTCTACCCGCCTAGGTTCTAGGGACGTGTCTTCCTTGGCTACTGGGTCGTCCTCACGCTTCTTTTGCTCTTGACGCTGTGAGGGTCCAGGTTCCTCGTCGTTGAACGAGCCGCCGGGCAAAGGCCCTTCGCTAGGTACCTCATCGTTGGATGAGCCTCCTGAAGGCGGCTTCCAACTGGCAGACGAGGGTTCACGGACAGAGTCTGGAATGTAGATCTCCTCGTCTACGTCTCCACGGCGATTGCCTACTGAGATCGATACCCGGACGTTGGTCCGGCGTTCGAAACCTCCAGGCTTGACCTTGAAAATGGTTGTGCCCTTCCAAGGCTTCTCCTGTTTCACCGTCTTTGGAGCATCCTTGCCACGCCACATGTCAACCTTTTGTTGGGAAGTTCCATCCTCATATTCGAATTTCGTAGCACGCGTATCCTCAAGATACTCCAGAGGAATGGGTGTATTATTCTTTTCCGGCTTATATGATTGGGACCTAAGTTTCCTATGGACCCTAATCATTTCTCTATTGGGCTCATTCAATACCCATTTGTCCTCTGTGACAAGTGCTTCTTCAACTGGCTAAGGATCGGCAGAAGTCTCATCTTGCTGGTGAGCAAGTCCAGACTCTTGTGCAGGTTCTTCTTGCGCATGATTACTGTAATCATATTGAACATGCTGAGTAAAGAAGCTGGCGCGCTGAACTTGAAACTCAACATTATACATGTACTCTTCCATGACCTCTAGGTCCAACACAAGGTGTGAACTCCTGGAAGTATCCAGTGGCAAGTGGTAAATGCCCAATGGATCACAAGTAAGAGAAGCATTACCTGGGGTAAGATTCAAGGAGAACCTCAGGTTGCGCATCTGCGGAAGTGACGTAAGAAATGGCACCTGACCTTCTTCTACAATGTCAAACTCAGTACAATGAATTGAACCATAGTAATCACTCATATAAACCACTAACTTCTCAGTACACTAAGAAGTTTGGCTGTTGGCGCAGGAGAACTGAGAAGTGGTAGGCTTGATCTCGTACCACAAATAAGAGTTGTGGCCTTGCTTGTCGACATGCTGGCAAAAATGGTTCACTGCTGCTCTGGAACCCATAGCCTTAGTACACCCTAAATCTAAGATAACCTTAGTAGGGGACATATCGACTACTTGCAAGGCTGAAGGAGAAGCCATCATGGCTTCTCCCGGCTCTTCAGGCTCATCTTCGTCCTCGCGATCGTCACCATCATCTTCATCTGATGGAAAATCAGGTACGTAAGGATCGAAGTCTTCAAGACCTGAAGGCGGTGTGTCACCTGGGACACGAGATCGTGGCAGGAACATCTCGTCTGGATCAGGTTCTCTCCAGTGCCCTATGCCATCATCATCAAAGTCACCTACACTTGCTCCATCATCTTCTGCAGCATGTATGGCTTCCCGCTGCATGCGCCATTCATGCCTTCCATCAGGAGCATCGTCATCAACAGAAAGGGTACCAGGTGGGTGCACCTGCTTCCCTTTTCCTTTATCATTGCGAAACTCAAGAGTGTAGGCAGGCTTACCTTTGACGATGGGTTTACCTTTGCCTTTGCCAATGATATACCTATGAGTGTGTGCAACATCATTTGGAAGTTCAAACGAATGTTGAGGAAGAGTAAGCACATTATCATCTGGTGCAGGTTCTTCCTCTGCTGGTTGATCAGACTGGCCAAAATGATGCTCATACCAAAGAGGAGTAAGATAATTCCTACCCTTACCTTTAGGAAAGGTGTAAGGCAGAACAGACACAGGGTTAATGCTGCTGGAGCTGGAACTGGCTGGTTCCCCGCTGGTGAGCGGGCCTCCAAGCAACGCAGGAGGGTTTGGATCACCTGTTGGAGTAAAACCCATAAGGTAACCCCTTCCATAAAGAACCCTATGTTGATTCCTAGACATCCTCTGATATAACTCCCCGGAGGTATGGGAACAATATGCATCACAGTCATATCGAAGTGCTGATGGAGAAATTCTCAAGTTGGGACACATGGCATCTGAAGTCAGAGCATTATCTGCACTTGTCCACTCTGCAGTGCCTTCGGACCCCGAATCTAAGGTCTCCGGTGATGGTGGTCCTACCGTTCGGCGAAGTTCTTCCATCAGAGCGTAGTAAAGCCAAATCGGTATAAGCCAGTCGTCTAGCAACACGTTATAATCCTCTTCGCTGAGAGAATATACGAGAGTGGCTTCCTGAACGACTTGGTGGAGGTCGCGGTGCCAGACAATAAGCCTTATGTTACTATGGCCGTACCTCCGCACCTCAAACTTAAACGTATGACGGAAAATATTTTGGGGGACCAGCTTGCTCGTGTGGAAGAGGAGGCCAAGGATCAAAATCATCACTGTCTGGTGGTTCGTCCTCAGCGATAGCAACAGATTCTTCCTCAGCCTCTTCGGCAGCAGTGGCAGGTTCCTCTTCAGAACCAGAAGAAGAGAAGGCAACAAGTCTCCCATCAGAGCTGCGATAAACAGCGCGTGTCTGGCCACGACTGTTGGGAGCATACATTGGGATGGGGAGCCCGCATTCCCTGAGGCTCGGGCTGCCCCTTGCCCTTGACCTTGCCCTTGAACCGGCCTTTTGTCCTACGCCACATACGGCCCTTGCCCCAACTTGCATCGTACCAGTATGGGTAAACATAATAAAACCCAAACTGACCAAGATTCTGCCCAAACTCATCAATCCACATCCGAGAACGTGGTGTCAAGCCAAGTTCCCAAGGAGTAGAGGAATGGTGAAGGGCAATGATCAGAAGAGAAGGATGTTGTGGTGGAAGGTAGATACATTGAAGAGTGATTGGGGGAAGGCCGAGATTGCGATAAGGCTGGCTGTTAGGAGGAGGACTGCCGATGTTGTCGTCGTCGATGTTACTCCATGCGTCGAAATCTTCATCAAAACAGTTGGGGTAGACGAACCCAATGCTTGAGGAATGATACTGCCACCAAGTATCAGAAACCGGCGGCCATGGATAGATACGAAGACCCTCCGGAGAGTGTGAGGATCTACGCGGCACATAACAAACGACTACTCTTCTTAAAGGCTTTATCCCAAGTTTGTCACACATAAACTTAGGGAAACAATGTTCCTTACCTTCAGGAGGAAGGCGCAAACCAGCGTTTGGGTAATTAGCTTGGTAAATTATTAAGAGGTAAGCTTCCTCACGCTCCTCCAAAGGCAGACGTTTAAGCATTTTGTAATACCTAAGGGGAAGAGTCTGTGTGAAGAGGAAGTCTTGAGTTTCCTTCCAAAGCACGCTTCTGGATATTAATTCACCAACAAACCGGCCCATTCCATATTGCCAACCTATGAAATGGGGGTCCCTCCACATGACCGAAGCAAAATATATCAATGCTTGCCTTGGAAGAATGCCAGTCATCGAGAAGTGGAGTTTTTCAGTGGGGTTTAAGGGTAACTATTGGACCCCAGTCTCCTCTATTCTCTTCGAAATAACCCCAAATTGTCCACTGCAAAAAGGCGGAATTGGCACCACTTCCTTCACCTGGGAGCATTCTGAAACTTGGTCCATGAGGGGTGCGTATGAACGCTAACTCAAACACAATGCGGCAGGCAAGGGTTTCAGACCTACGATGGACTTCTGGAAACTCATGAATGGCGTCCGAATGGGGTTCATACTCTTGAAGAATACACCAAACCCTATCAGAAACACAATGTAGATTGTGCCATTCATGAGCCAGAAGCCATTCACGGTAAATCAAAATCCTAGGTTCAGACATTGACTCCTCACTAAGGAAATGGCTAACGTTAAGGTTGTGACCAGAGGCGCCGGGAGTCAAGTCCTGAACAGGTGGCATTGAGTTACTGGCATAAAACTAGGAACCATATTCTGAGTCATCACTGTCTAAGTCTTCAACATACACATCATAACCACAGTCGACCTCAGAATCGGTATCACGCCTTTGAGTATGCAAAGAACCCCAAGGAGTCTCTGGTTCCTCACCGTTGGATGAGCCTCCTTCTGCAGGGTCTTCACCAGAATCAACATCCGTAAACTGTGCAGCGTCATCAGGCTCATTATGATCAGCATCAGCATCTGGCTCAACATCTGGTACCCCAGCGTTGGCCAGGCCTCCGTCAGCTGGTTCCCCAGCGGTGACTTGGGCCTCCAAAGGTTGCGCCTGTTACCTCAGGTTCCCCGACGGTGGTCGGGCTTCCTACATGATGCATAGCAAAGAAAGAGGAAGGCGACGAAGGGACATCTACTGCAGCTTGAGCCTCAGGTTGCGAAGAAGCTACATGAGA